ACTTCATTCCGAAGGACTCTGTAGTCGTCCTGAATTGGTGGTGAGTACTTAGATGCAAGTGTCACATTCCTAACATCATTGGCTTACCCGTGGCGTCAATTGCAGGGCTATCCAGCGTGATCCAAGTCGCTACCAAAACGCCGATGCATATGATCCATCTCGATTTCTCGACAGTCCACTCTCTGCAGCGGAGTACATGAACTCGCAGGATCCCTATGAGCGCGACCACTTCTCCTATGGTGCTGGCCGGTACGTATTTTCCATGCCGACATTGGATGCCATGAGAAGAGGGCATAGATGGCTGACATCCTGACAGACGTGCATGTCCTGGAGTCCATCTAGCTGAGAAGTCGCTCTTTATTGCTGTTTCCCGCATCTTGTGGGCATTCAACATTGGGCGAAAAGAAGATCCAAACGGAGAGATGAATGTCCCCACAACTCGAATGATGCCAGGTTTTTTAAGTGTCCCTGAGCCTTTCGAATGTTCCATTTCATGTCGCTCTGTCGCACATGAAGAGATCATTCGTAGGGAGTATAGCGCATTGAGGAAGAAGAACTTTGAAGAATGTCATTGATCATTGATGATTTTATTCGTACAAGAGTCTGGCGAACTGCTTAGATATCAAAAGCGTTGTGAATATCGGTGTCTCCCTATTAGGAAATCGGGTTCTTTAGTCTGGAGTAGTTGCACTATACACCGGTTCATTTGCTAGTACATCGACTAGAAATACACATGTAGCCCTCGAGAAACTGCATCATTGAAGGGTACATTTTTCTTTTACAATTCTCTATTCGTAGAGTAGACATAGATTCGGTTCAGCCAACACAAGATCCAGGGAATACCATGAATCGCGCATAGCCGTGTTCTTGCTCTCACTTCGTAATCTAACTAAGGAATGAGTCTACGCTGCCCTTCTCTCATCTGCTTATCGAGGTCGGTCCCTAACCATAAAGGTTGAGTCTCGTCAAGCTTGTCCTCCAGGTCACTAATGTTCCCGCCGTGAATGAAGAAAGACTTCCCATTTATATCAGGTCGCATAGCAGGTAGCAGGCTTGCCGTGGCAACGTCCTTTGGCGTATTTGCAGGTAACTCCTTCCAGATACTTCTGATATGATCTGTGACCATCTCCGTATCTACAAGGTTTAGCCTTGATTACGTGCATGAACTGGCATGAACTGGTCAAGCAGTCCTCGTGCAGAGGTTGGAACGCACTCACCTGTCATCCAAGGTGCGATCATGTTGACAGTAATGTTCATCTTCGGCAACTGAGTCCTCATGGCGCGCATGAGACCCAGAACAGCCGCCTTACTGGCACAGTAGGTGTAGCAGGGCGGGGTATCGAAGAAGCTAGCAGCGGACCCGAATAGAACCAGCTGAGATTTCGTTTCCGGATTTTTGCGAAAGAAACCGATGGCACATTTGGTCACGTACCAAGTGCCAGCCATGTTGACATTGAGAACCGAAACATCTGGCTTTTGGAGATACCAGTCTGCTCCAGAGTTCGGCTCGTCAAGAGTCTCGATTCTGTTGATTGCTGCATTCGAAATGACGGCGTCAATGGGACCAAGCTCTGAATGAACATCTTGGAAGAAGTTGACAAGGTCGTTCCAGTCCGAAATGTCACACTTTTTGAAGAAGACGCTGTTGACCATTGAACATGAGCCAAAGTCGTCCCCTTAATGGGGGCCTTCCTGAGAAGACCGTAGGGAATGATGCGACTTACTTGCCGAGCTCTTTCTGAACTTGCTTTCCTCGAGTCTCGTCAACATCGCAGAATGCTACTTTCGCCCCATGCCCTATGACGGAACGGTCAGCATAGCGTTAAGAGCTTATATCGTGTTGCTTACGATGGGCGAGGTCGACAATGGCTCTTCCAATGCCGGCTGCACCTCCAGTGACCAAGATGACTTTGCCTTCCAAATTTTGAAACTCCGAATCGCTGACAGTGTAGGCAGACATTTTTGTGTTCTCACATTTGCCGTAGAAGTCTAGATCAACCAGGTCTTTGGGGAAACCATAGCGGCTGGGGCTGCCTTTGTTATTACACAGATACGGCTCACTAACATGCCTGAATTTCGGCGTACTCCACATCGGTGTGGGCTGTCTCCAACTCGGGGTATAGCGGTCGAGCCCCGAACACAGCAAAATAGCTACATGGATAGGCACATGGGATCTCCGGATTCACATATCACTGGGCGTATTGGTACAGTATGTTTCATGCAAGGAAAATGTGATTCTATTCAATTCAATGTCAAATACGATGGAGCGGGGGTGTCGTCTGACAAGTCCCCGGTAGCCGTCCAATGCTGCTGCTTGTGCTTTCGTGACTCGACTTCGTCGGAGATGGCTATGGCAAGATCCGCTGCTGAAATCCCCAGCAATTTCCCATCCAGAGGACTGTCGCCATTAGGGCCATCTCTCAGCGGCAAATTGCTTATAGTGATCTCGTATCTGCCTGTACGCCTGCCGGGACGATATAGTGCGCTCGGGGAAACATACGTCCAGTCGAAGGATGTATTGCCTTCGAAAAACATGAGACTAGCTCGCGCAGCTTTGATGAAGCTGCTCGATGCGTCTTGTTGTGCTTTCAGCTGAGCTTCGTAGGCATTTATCGTTTCATGCGCTGCCTCTTTCTCCTCAGTGCTTCCTTTGCCCTCTTTGAGGAGAAGACGAGCGTCGCGGTATACTCTCAAGGCCCTTCCTATCGGCCCAAGTCTCTCTTCCATGTATGTGACATGAGCATGGCTGTCCGCGATCCCACGGCGGTAAGCCAAGAAAAAGTCCTTGCTGTCCGCCACGCACACGCTGTCTTCATGAGGCACATGCAAGCTGCCAGTTCCACCGACCATCACGAAGTATCCTGTTTTGGCGCGTTTCACGGCAAGAATGATTTTTCTGATCATCTCGATGAATGGCACTGTCATATTACCTGGTCAGGCAGTCCATTGATACAAGCCAGTTTTAAGCAACTCACTGTATTGCAAGGCCTCGTGACCTGCTGTATGAGGCCCATATTCGCACACCACAACCGCAAGATCGCTGATGGCCATAGCCAACTCTCCTTCAGTTGACGTTTCAAGGTTGATAGGCCGCGACTCGTAGAGATCATGAGTACCCAACCTTTGTGGGTTGCGAGACAGTCCGACAACACGATGGCCGCGGTTGATGAGTTCGACAACTAAGTAGGAGCCACCGAAACCAGCCGGTCCGATGACTCCAATCTTCAGTTTTTCGCCATTCTTGGCCATGGCGGTTCAGTAGGTGATTAGAAAGTTTGTAGCTGCTGAATGTGCGTGTCAAGCGAGAAAGAAGGCGGCTTTGACCTCCGATGCTTCTGAGCATCTGTAGCCGCTATGAATATGGGCTCTTACCGTACAGACGTTTTCATGTCGCTGCCGTTGTGTAGGTAGGTACAGTTGAATGGTCACTGTCCTTTAGGCGGATGCGGGGTGATGTGGGGGACACGACGGTTGGGTTGATTCGGCCGACGGCAACTGTGAACTGCCTGTCAGAGGTGCGGTGCGGGGGACTATTCAATTGCTGACATCTGTGATTGCATGCCCGAATCCTAATGCCCTTAATCATTCATGTCTTGTGAGTAATACGACCATTCCTACAGACTGTAGATACAACAGATCTCTGCAACACCGGAAAGATGGACTTCAGCATTGGCTTCATAGGTGATGCTCAGCCTTAACCACCGCGGAATGACCACTGACCCCCATAGGACTCGGTGCCATCGGCTATCCCATGGCTGCATCGATCCGTCGAAATCTAAAGCGTCAATCTACCGTTTATGTTTTTGACGTCAACAAATCAGCCTGTGAGAAATTTGTCGGGCAATTTGCAAGCTTTGGACAGGTGGAAGTCGCTGCAAATCCACGCGAAGTAGCTGCCACAGCAGACGTGGTGGTTTCCATGGTACCCGGGGCACCAGAAGTATCGAAGGTCTATCTCGACGCTGAAGATGGCATCATTTCCGCTCCCAAAAACCCACAAAGACTGTTGATTGAGTGTAGTACCATCGATACTCTCACCGCACGGCACGTGGCAGATCAGATAAGAAAGGCTTCTCAAGGTGAATATGCTGATGCCCCCGTTTCCGTGAGTCTTCCTTCCCAACATGTGTGGCTCCATAAAGTACCTTTGACCCATCGATGCAACAACGCTGTCTGACTCCAACGTATTCCAGGGAGGCGTACCAGCAGCGGAAAAGGCGACCCTATCATTCATGATCGGACGTCCTGAAGACAACGAAGATCCCTTATCCCAACGACTGCGTCAGGTGGTTTCAATGATGGGCGACCCCGAAAAGCTCTTCTGGTGCGGCGATGTTGGTTCAGGACTTGCTGCTAAGATCAGCAACAACTACATCTCCTGCTCCGTTCTACTTCTGATATCTGAAGCTATGGCAATCGGGGTAAAGTCTGGGGTGGACCCAAAGATGCTTCAGAAAATTATCCACAGCTCTACGGGTCAAACTTTCATGGGAGATAATGTCTGCCCAGTCCCTGGCGTCATCCCACATGCCCCTAGTAGTAATAATTGGAGGCTGGGATTCAAGACTCAGATGTTTCTCAAGGATCTATCTCTGGGCATCGATGCTGCCAAACAGGAGAATATCCAGCCGACGATGGCAGAAGCGGCCTATGGAGTATTTGAGAAAGCCTCAAAGGACCCCCGCTGTATTGTAAGTAAAAGTGGCGGATTCCCCAGAAGCGAGTCAACTAACATTCGTTCGAGGATCGTGATGGCTCTTCGGTCTACCTTTATGTCACAGACTCGAAGACTTGAGTTAGATCGTGAATACAAATGAGCAGTAAATGCTAAAGCACATATAGTAAACATACACGTTTAGCCAATGTTATCTCTGGTGGAATGTAGCTTTCGCAGCCTGAACTCGGGAATCAAAACCCTCATGTTGGAGCATTCGTTAGAAGTTGAGAAATAGGTGTATTTACCAAGCTCTTTGAAAATCGAAAGGCTAGCATTCTCAAATCTAAAGTTCTCGTAGAAAGTCCCTAATCTTTGCAATACAATCCTCTGCAGCCTCAGCGTAAATTTCATGCCCTTGAGACTCGATGACTGCTAGCTTCGATAAGGCAACCTCCGCAGTCAGCTTTTTCATGGATTCAACGCTCACAAGAGCACTGTTTGTAGGCGACAAAATCAACATAGGAGCTTTGATGTCTCCCAGATATGGCTGAGCATCCAGCTGACTCAAGAATTCGGCATATCCTGCAAGCCCCTCTCCGTCACTGACAGCAACCTTGTCCTTCCACCATGCGAGGTAGTCGGGATCACTACTCGCCACAGTGCCGCTCGCACCAAGAAGCCGTTCTGCCCAACCTCTTGATCCAAGTTGGCGGCATGCTTGAGGCCAAGATTCCAAACCGAAAGCAAGGAACTGCTGCGCTGAGGCCGGCAGATGGGTTGGCGATGAACACACAATGATGGAGCTGACGCGTTCTGGGTATGTTGCGGCGAATATTTCTGCGAGCATACCGCTCGTTGACTCCCCGATAAAGTGAACCTTATCAATCTTCAGTTGATCCAAGGTGTCCTTGATCTCACCTAGAATCGTGGCAGTATTGTATTGGTAGACATCGTCGTCATCGGGGCCCGGGTAGCTCGAGCAGCCGTGGCCCCGGAGATCACGACGCAAGACATTGTACTTTCTGGCAAGGGCCGGAACCCAATGATAGAAGTGATCCGAGGTTCGCCCGAAGCCATGTTGAAGTAGTATAGTCTCAGCTGGTTTCCAAGGGTCGACAAAAGAGTCGAGAATGTATGCGGTTGACTGTCCATTTGAGTGACGAATAACTTTCCGGTTGCCAGCGTCCATGATGGTTGAGGACTAAGAATGAGTTTCAAAAGGAGTCGGGTTGTGGCACGGCTCTGAAGCACGTTGACCCATGTACAAAAGGGACAAAGACCAAGAGAGTGACTGCCATGAGCAGATAGGAGTCAGTAAGGTATCCCAAAAGCAACTGATATTCACAGCCCTTGTATCTTCCCGCGACGGCTGAGCCACATGGCATGCCCCGTATGCGTAGTAGTAATACCATGTGGGGTAACGGGCAGATCTAATGTTCTCCTAGCGTTGCGATGTTGGAATCTTGCGGGGTAAGGTTTTGGGGAGCTTGGTCGAAGCTCGGCAGCATGGCCTCGCTAACGGGTGCGATACGAACTCCGGATGCGGAACTTAGAGGTCAAGCATAAACAAAATGAGTCAAGTCACTTTCAAGTGCATGGCCAGCCTGAGTGTATACTAGTGAATGGCTTGTGGGGTGCGAAGACCACATAAATTTACATGTCTGCAGTTGCTTGCGAAAGAGATCATCGTGGACCTTGATCCAGCAAGAGTTGATGCTACAATTTGTTGAGCTCTCCTCCGAAAGCTCTTCAGGTAAGTTGTTCAGTATATAACCTTGGTCATCTGTAGATTTTCAAATGTACTGACTCCGTCAGCCAAAGACTTACTGAGCCCGCTACTAAAAGCTCTAGCACCAGTGTCTTTGTTGTTGCCCATTCGAGCATTTTCCAACCAAGAACAGCAGTTTTCACATCACATGTAACCTTGAGAGCAACTTTGGACAGCCATTACGCGACTGCATCTTCATCGTCTCTTTTCCTACATCAAGCTGTTCGGAACGCGGATCAGGCATTCGCAAATCACAATGAATCAAAATTACTCGACTCTCACTCTCACACCATGGTTCTATGTTGTCCTCCTCTTCCTTGTCGTCCTCATTTGGGCCTCAGTAGATGTTATCACAGAGACCTTCTCGTCTCTTCGGAAGTTGCCTGGTCCATTCGAGGCTCGCCTCTCAAGACTCTGGTACTTTCGACATGTGAGAGACGGGAACTTTCATCATCGCAACATTCAACTCCATGAGAAATACGGTACGCTGTCTTTCTTCCCGTGTGAAACTATGGGAACCTCTCGCTTACAAGATGATTCACCGTACAGGCGCTATAGTGCGTATTGCTCCGAAGCAATATAGTATCAACAACCCGGCCGTAATCAAGACGATATATGGTATTGGAAAGGGCTTCCTCAAGGTACGCATCATCGAGCCCCTGGAGTGAAGTTGCCTTACCTACATTAGCCACTTCTCAGTCCGCATGGTACGAAGCCTCAAGTCCAGTCGGCCTTCCTTGGCAAGATCTCTTCACGGATCGAGATGGTGCACGCCATGCCGCAAATCGGCGTCTCGTGGCAAACCTCTACTCTGTCACCTCCCTTAGAGCAATGGAGTCCGATGTCGAAGACTGTTTGAGAGTCTTTGTGAAGCAACTTGGAGACTTGAGTCAGACTCAAAAACCCATCGACCTTCAGTTTTGGATGCAATGTTATGCATTCGATGTCGTCAGTCAAATCACGGTAAGTCTCTCCGTAGACTAGTCTCATCTGCGGTCCTGGCACACATTCTCACCCATCCCATATAGCTTGGACAAAGATTTGGCTGCCTTGATACAGGAAGCGATCGACTTGGGATTTTCGCTAGTCAACACGTTTACCTAAAATACTGCGCTATGGTGGGAATAGAACACGAGCTACATGGAACTCTCGATTGGATACTGTCCAAACTCTCACCAGGACAGCTGATGAACGGGGTCAACTTTACCGCCGAGCAGCTGAAAAAGGGCAAAGCCCGGTTTGACATGGAAAAAGGGAGCCCAGACAGGCAAGACTTCATGTCTAAACTCTTCCGTCTGCACCACGAAAAGCCCGGAAAGTTCCCAGAAAGCGCCGTATTTACGACATGTATGACCAATATTGGAGCTGGCTCTGATACAACTTCGATATCACTATGCGCTGTTATCTATGACCTTGCGTCCCACCCCACAGTGCTTCAGAGGGTACGTAACTGACTCCTCATGAGCGAAGTTTCGCGCTTCGCCTGGCTCAGATGACCTTTCTAATAATGATCACAGCTTCGCGAATATATCGACGCCAAATTCGCAGAGCTAGACAACCCTGAGTTCATCCCTTTCAAAGATGCTCAGGCTATGAGCTTTCTCCAGGCTTGCATCAAAGAGTCACTCAGACTGCATCCAGCAACAGGTCTTCCGCTAGCCCGTGTTGTCCCCAAAGGTGGCGTGAATCTTCTTGGTAGAGACTTCAACGAGGGTGTAAGTCCCACTAATACAGCCTTTATGGGCCATGTGGGCAGATTTGATTGACTAAAGTAATTGAAGTGCGTTGTAGGCGTGAATACCTGGGTCTTGCATCGGAATAAAGATGTTTTCGGTGCTGATGCCGATGAATACCGCCCTGATAGGTGGTTCAGTCAGGACAAAGAACTCATTTCTCTAATGGAATCGAATTGGATACCTGTGAGTCAAATTCTGGTCGAATTTCCCTGGATAATTTTTGACTGGTCATCTCTGCCTCAGTTTGGGGTAGGCTCTCGTACCTGCATTGGGAAAAACATCAGCTTGCTGGAAATCAACAAGCTTGTGCCCATCTTGGTCAAGACCTTTGACTTCACCCCCGTGGAGCCGGAAAGAATCCGGCATGAGAACTACTGGCTGGTTAAACAGGTCGACATGTTATGCAGAGTTTCACCGAGAAGTACCTAGTGTGGTAGTTGAGTTCTTGCGAGATGCTGTTCATTGGCAAAGAGGACAAATATCCACATAGGGCTCAGATTTGCAGCAAATTGAAAACAATATTTTAACCTTACATACAGCTCCCACTCAAAATAATCCTTCATGTGCAAATGCTTTGGTCTGGAGAGGAGTTGAACATCAGGCAAGTCACTGTCTACATGTATCTTCCCAACCGTCCGAATACCAACTCGCACCGCCAACCATGCCGGAATGTCTTTAATGTGCATGAGAGGAGAACTTAGGTTTCCGGTTCATCTTTTGAGTATTACTAAAATAGGAGTAGGCTAATTCCGAAGAAAACCGTAGAAAAGATCACCCATTGATCTCCGAAGGGCCTGCCATTCACCCCACTCCCAACCCGCTCAATGAGCTTGTTCCCAAGATCTGAAATGCTGCTTTGAAAGTTCTCGGCATTTGGTGCCATCCAATTCGCCCCGCTTCCTCCAGGAACAGCTTCATCACCCGTGAAGGCAATATATAGCACATCATTGTCATCGTGTCCTGAGTTGCCGTTGATACTATTGCCATAGCACGCAGTGGCTAGTGATATGGATGCCTCACCTACCATGGCTTGAGGCCCATCGTCACCATTCGTATCTCCCCAAACTCCATACAGCTACACAAGATGGGTGAGAACAAGATCTGAGACGACAGAAGGTAGACTCACCAATTTATTATTGCACACGACAGCCATTACGCTGAGTGGTTTGACGCCATGCTTTTCTGGATTGAATGTAGGCCAGCCGCTTTTAGTGCCTTCATTCCCGAAAACAACATAGGTGTGTACCGAGGCGTTCAGATCTCGTCGCCCAGTTCCATAACTCCTCAGTTGGTCGCGGAATGTCGTCTCAGATTGAGTGTCGGTGGAGCTGCCGCATCGTCCGTCGCCTCCGGCTTGCTCGCCATCGCAGTCCACGTCCATGTTGGCCAGCTCACCATTTTTTCCTTGGAGATATATGATTTTGTAGTCATCTAGGTAATCTCCGCAGTAGCTAAAATCTGATGAATGAATTTTGTGAGTTTTTCTGAGCCCTTGCCGTTGAGAGAATGAAGCACGTACCTCCGCTGTCACCCTCACTGCTGTGAAACCCGCTTGCTAACGTGTGATGGCACTTGTTCCGCCCGCGGACGAACTCATAGAAGTCTTTCACATTGCTCGGAATATCGCGTGTCAACGCTTGTGTCGCTAGAAACATGAAAAGAAGGAAGACGCCGCCTAATGAGACCATGATGACTGTAACGATGGCCGTCGATGAGTCTGAAGAAAAATGGATGAGGTGAGACGGGATGCTCGGGGGCAGGGAATCGTGAGCGATGAGTATGAGTCGCGCTTTGGTCTCCACGTGATCCACGGAGTCCTGCAGCGCCATACAAAGCACTAGTTGTGCACAGCCCTCATGTTAGACGCTCTCAAATGAACACGAGCACGCCGGGGCTCTTGGCCAAGTCTCAAGCGTCTTGACCGGGGCTGAGAGAAGCAATGATGGGATGACGCGCGATTGACAGCCACGACAGCTAGGCATCAACACTCAGTTGAAAATTGAAGGATTCATGGTTCTCAGGCATGTCTGGTCTGTGTGAAACAGGCGTTCAGCCACCCATGGAATTGAGGCGCAATGTGACTGAGACCTAAAATCCGGCCCGCTCCAGATGGCTTTCTGTCATTGTACATTCCGGGCCAGACTTAATCGGAGCGCTGGCGGTGGAGAAATCCAGCGTTTATTTAAGCCTAAAATTAAGGTGCCCCAATGCCTCAAATGGTCTAGTGTCGTCGATGAGAGGAAGCTCACCAACAGAGTTTTTCAGCAACTCGTCGTATGATGAACTGCCAATAAGTGAAATGCCGACACGACAAATCAGGTCAACTATCCCTGACTCATTCTCGGTGGTGAAACAGTTTGAGTTCGTATGCAGACATAGAATGCCACATTATTTGAGTCAATAGAAGGGTAAGAAATTTTGAGGAGAGAGAAGACGCATCATTCGATCTACGATCTATGGATCTTGCAGGACTCCTTACCTCTGTCGCTCTGCTTCGTACGTCTACTTCATGAACGCAATCAGTCCGTCCTGATTGTATGCGAGTGACTGGCTAAACAGATGATTTACGCATATGATCCACCTCAGTGCAGCCACGTCTCTTCGGAATTCAACCTGTGTTGGTGCACTTTGCCGCTGCCCAGTGCATATTACCCCCAGATGCTGTTGGACCATATCTCATGCTTGTTGCAACCAACATCACATATCAACACGCAAATTGATCCCTGGCAAGATGCCACAGGCCTGCATTATTATGTTTGGCCAAGAAGAGGGGTAAGTTGCGCGTGTTACCTACAAACATAAATGAGAGAGAGCCGTCCTTGTTGCCTCCAGAAATATTGTTCCCTTAAGGTTACAGAGCGTTCCACCTATATCCATCATGACTGACATCCAGAAAGCCTCTGAAGACGAGAAATCTGCCGCTGCACTAATCCCAGCATCTGCCGACAATCCTGAGCCAACCGGTGACTCTAGCTCACCTAATCATGGCCCTTTTCTGGAGGCCGATGCAGAGAATAACAATGTGAGAAATGTCAAAAGACTCATGTTGTCTCTCAAGATGTACTAACACCTCCGCATAGTTGACAGAAGATGATGCCTCAGACAGAGCGACAGTGAGCAAGCGACCCAAGCTAACGTGTCCCCATGTGCTACTTGGTCCCAGCTCCTGACATGCTTCAGAGTGTGGCATCTTCAAGCACGAGCTTGTCGAGCTCAATCCTTCAACATCGCTTAGAAAACGGGAGATCTTATCATAAGTACAAGGACGGGAGTGAGTTGCCCCCAGGTCCCTTTTGTGTTGACAATCCGGTGTCTAACAGTATAAAGAATATCTCTTCCCCAACGACGAAAGAGAGAATGACAGACTTGGTATGTGGTTTGTTAGCCAGGCATTACGGCTCCCTTGCTAACATCACTTTCTTAGACCTACAACATAACCTCTACCTGTTGACTTTGAATTACAAGCTGGGACTCGCTCCCCCCAACAAAGAAGGCTCGGTAGTTAAGCGCGTCTTGGACATCGGAACAGGCACTGGTCTCTGGGCAATAGAATTTGCCGATGAGCACCCCGAAGCCGAGGTAGGTGAATTCGCGAAACCAGAGAATTAAAAGCTGATTCATTCGCAGGTTTTAGGTGTTGATCTATCCCCCGTGCAGACTCAATTGTAAGCTTCTATGGTTGTCTGGCTTATTTACGTTCACTAACGTGGTTCAGTGTCCCACCGAACCTGAAGTTTGAGGTTGACGACATTGAGCAGCCATGGACATTCAGCCGCCCATTTGATTATATCCACATTCGAGGGATGACATCGAGTATCTCAGACTGGCTCGGGTTCTTCAAACAAGCTTACTCGTAAGTTACTGATCCAATTTGGGCTTCACCATGATCTAATTTAGCATAGTGGCCTTACCCCTGGTGGCTACATTGAATTATTTGAAGGCCATGCACGCACCCAGTTGGACGATGGGACTTTGACAGCAGATCACGCTGCTTGGCAGTGGGCGGACAAGCTCGATGAATGCTTCAAAATTCTCGGCCGTCCATTTGTAAACGTTCCCAGCCTTATTCCCATACTGAAAGAAGCTGGTTTCGTTGATGTGACAATGGTGCCTTTCAAGTGGCCAGTTGGTCCATGGGCAAAAGATCCGCATTACAAAGAGCTCGGTGAATGGGCTCTCGAGAATTCTTCTCAGGGCCTCGAAGCCTGGACTATGGCAGCATTGACCAGGGCGCTTGACTGGAGCAATGCAGAGGTCCAAGCCTTGCTTGCTCAGGTGCGGAAGGATCTCAAAGACAGGAGCATCCATCATTACACGCCTATGTACGTCAACTTTTCACATTCTTTCAGTTCTCTTTCGGTCGATGGTTTGATTCCTGAAATCCTGAGATGCGTTTGATCTGATCTCAGTATATATCCCCAATTCTGACCACGGCTAGGTGGGTGATACACGCGAAGAGGCCACAGGACGAAGCCTTAGTCGCAGTTGGTACCAAACTTCTAGCAGATACGGAGGATCACGATACTTGAGCGAAGCAATGAAGGCTAATAAGCAACCGGATGTTTCTATAATATTGGGGGAAAAGTCGAAATACCGTATTATCGCAGACCTTATAGTCCTTGGTTCTTCTCCGTCTCTCTGGCGGATAAGTGATACCTCATGGCGTCGTGAATGATGATCGCTGCGTGGAACGAGTTTCAAATAATCGGAGCTTCAGTATTGTTAATGTTGAAGTAAACATTTGGTGGGAAGGATACATGTAATTTGACTCTATCTTCAATGTACTAATGGGGTGGACTGTGATAAGGCCAATCGTTGCTGCACCCGGCTCTTGAATCATCACGACACAGATTCGTAATCAGGCTACCAATCACTCTCCGGCGACATATCGAGATCCACGGGCCAACAGCCCAGCCAATGGAGTGAAGCTGCACATGCAGGCCTCGAAGCGCGGTATAGGTAAGACACGACCCATGACCTTGCAGCTGAATTTGGCAGCTGAGAGCATGATGTCTAAAGATGGAGCCTGATCCAAATTCGACGAGAGCCTTATGTCCTGCTCTCGCCCCCTGGTCTGCTTCTGTCCCTCTTTTCCCTTCAACATCTTATCGATCCTGCTGTCATGTAAATCTCGAAACAGTACGAAAGGGATGAGAATCCCTTCAAATCAACAAGTATGGCTGAATCAGATCCAGGTTCAGAACGGTGCGCAATCATCGCATTTCCTACTGATTATCGTATCTTCAGCGAAACTAATCTGTCGCAGAATCGCACCAATTGCGCAACCAGCCGTTGTGCTCGACGATCAAAGAGAAACACCAATCAAGTCATCTACGGCGCACGCGACATCGCCTGAAACAGCTCAGAACGAGACCGCAGATGACGTCGACCGCCGCGATACAATCTCAGTAGTCCCGGAGCAAAGAGCCGAGAGTTTTCAAGCCAAGCAATTTGCCGACAAAACCATCCTATCAGGATGGTTTCCCCAGATAAAAAGCGACGAAAATAGTAGTTGGCGCATATGGTTTTCACGAAGAAGCCGCGCTCTCATGGTCCAGATTGGGATTATCGGCTTCATCCTGATGACGAATCTCGGTGTGACCATTTTTGCTGTAAAAAGTTACGGAAGTCGAAATGGTGTTGGGTTGATATACGAGGGCGACTGCTCAACCGTGAAGAGGCTCGACCAGTGGTTGCATCTGCTCATCAACCTGTTGGGAACAGGCATGCTATCGGCCTCAAATTATTGCATGCAACTGCAGGCTGCGCCAACACGCGAGAACGTGAATGCTGCTCACGCGAAGCACAAATGGCTAGACATTGGCATTCCTAGCCTCCGAAACCTGAAATATCTCAGCATGTGGAGGCGATGCTCGTGGGCATTATTGGCGCTGACCTCTATTCCCATTCATCTGATGTAGGAATGCTCCAGTCCCCTTGCTTTTCGAGACGTTCAGTCATCCGCTCACACCTGCAACGTGAAGATACAACTCGGCTGTGTTCCAGTCACTTTCATCTCACAATTACACCGTTGTCGTTGTCAAAGATTCCTTTTTAAGCAATGCTTCATGGAGCTTGAAGACGGCAGAGAACAATCGAGCCGGCGACTACGGTTGGGAAGACACGCGAGTCAACCCCTCGAACTTAGACTACGAAGAAGTAGTACGAGCAATCCAGAGGAATGCATCCATCTACGAAGAGCGCAACATATCAGCGTGTTTCGACTTGTACGATGACTATTTCAATCCTCAAGGAAACGCGATCATTCTAGTCAAGAACGAATCTTCGCAGAGTCCACCAGAGGATAGTCTGCTAATGTATGTTTCCATCGTCCCTCGGTCAGACGACTGGTCCAAGAATATGTGGGCTCTAGGCAATGGCACTGGTCATTTTGCCGCTTTGTCACCTCCAAAGCCTGTGACCAAATGGTTTCTTGGGCCTCCATACTACGAGGTGTCGCGATGTATAGTCCAGCAGCCAGAAGGGCTCAGCGCAAACTGTCGATTTGAGTACTCGCCTCCAATAATGTTCACTATTTGCATCATGAACATGATAAAGGCGGCCATCATGCTCTCTATATGGGCGTTGAGGAGGTGGCAAAACCCAAAGAAGCAAAACCAGGCGAAGGAGGTCTTATACACCTTGGGCGATGCCATCGCTTCTTTCATGCGGGAGCCATGTAAGCAAACTATCGACATGGGACTTGCGACAAAGTACGACTTTGTGACCACTCGAAGGTTGGGGCACCGTTTTGTGAGATCTCCTCCCACAATATTCGATGGGAAAACGCCCCCACCTCGGAAATTTGAAAAGACCCCAAAGCAGTGGCGATCCTCTGCAAGCCTCAGACGCTGGACTGTTATGTTGGTCATGTAGGAAAACTACTTCCTACATTTTACTACTAAAGTTTATCTTGTCACTGACCGATTTCCCTTAGGTGTCTTCTTGTCATCATAATCGCTGCTGTACTTCTGACAATGTCGTTCGTAAGCCTAAGACAACGAGGCTTTGGCGTAAAGATACCACAGTTATGGAAGCTAGGCTTTGGAGCCTTGACGCCATACACCTATTTGGTAATTAACATGCCTCGTACGGATCCAGGAGGGTTGATAGCCAATGTGCTACTAGCCAACTTGCCTCAACTTGTCCTTTCAATCCTATACATCGTCTATAATACTATGCTCAGCACATTTTTAGTCCAAAGGGAGTTCAGTCGCATGTGGGATCCGGGCAATAGGAAGCCTTTAAGAGTTTCTGAGCCAATCGGGATCCAACGATCAAGTTACTTTATTTCCTTGCCTCTGAGATATGGGATTCCCCTTTATGCTAGCTCGGGAATCATGCACTGGCTAGTGTCCCAGAGCCTTTTCTTGGCACGAATTCGAGCCATATCCCCAGACGGGAGTGACGATGATGTCAACTCTTTCTCGACATGTGGCTATAGTCCTATAGCTGTGTTTGTCAGTAAGTTCACCTCCGTTATCGTTACCCTCGACTATGCCTGTGGTTTCTGACCTAAAGGCTTAGCATTGCTGGCGGGGCTCCTTCTCGTCGTCATTATTATCGGTATGGGGATGCGGCGCTATGATGGCACAATGCCCATGGTGTCGACCAATAGTCTGGCAATAAGTGCTGCCTGCCATGTCCTGCCGAAAGATCAGGATGGCGGCTATCTACTACCTGTCCAGTGGGGAGTTCTCAATATGACTGGGGGTGTTGGGAAGTGTGCCTTCACTACAGCGGCAGTCAACACGGTCAAGCTCCCAGAGACCGGTCCAGGTCGAGTCTACAGATGATGGTGTGAGGGGCTTGGGGGCCCTGACTGATCAAGTAACAAGCCCCGAATGAGAAGTCAAAGTTCAGGACTAAAACCCAAATGAGGCTTGTTTTCACTGAGCTAGACTCCATACAATGTGAGGTCAAGCTTTGATGAACACTACGCAGGCACATCAGTGTTTGACTGTTACACCATCAAGTTCAGCGTGGGCGATCTGTGGTCCAGGCCAGGGACCGAAAACTTGCATTGAATACACAACCCGAAGTCACGGCCCTATTTCATATTCAAAAGCTGTAAATCTAATATAGAGTGTAATTCGGAGCACGTAATGAGACAAATGGTGTCTATAAACAGATGCCGATTTTCTGATCTCCACTGAAGCACGATTAATATAGTATTATGATTAGAGCCACTCAAGACTCCGTAAACCCCACTACCGACGCACAGTTCTCCCTCAAGACGAGCCCAATTCTTCCTTTATTATCAAAGTGTCACTGATTCCACAATGATTCAGGGGCTCTGAAGAGGATTGATGATAATACATCGGGAATCCTGGCTTAGGTCACCTCATAACGACTGGCGCGTACATCTTAGACGACGTGTAATTGATATCATCGGATGAACTCAAACGGCCATCCTCAGAGACAAGTTGGGTGAATCATCAACCCGCGAATTTCGGCATCTGGCCCGTGCTAGGTCGTTCAGTCATGTCTATGCCCGCCGCATTGCAAGGCGGAGTCTAGCTTCAAGTAGCTCTGCTGACACATCGACACTCAGCTCATTGAGACTTTTCTGATGAATAGACGAATGCCGCAACAGATGAAGTCCCGCATGAAATGTCCGACAAACTCTGTCCGGTGGGACCTCGAAAGTTTTCGCCGGTGGCGTGCTCATGTGCTTTTGTGCTTAAATCCTAAGCTGCAAACTCCACACCAGCCTAACGCGATGACCGAAGGATCACGAACTCGACTTGAACTATCGAGGTCTGGATCTCGTGTGGATTTCTGATGCTGTACGAGGACGAGGGCTGGAGAGCTCCGCTATTGAGGATGAGCAACAGGGAATTCCCAGTTTATAGGATGTCAGCCAGCCACAATGCGGCTGGGCTGAACTGATCGCGGTCTTCGTTTACCCTCATTGTCGCCATCGGCTGCTCGGTTTCGCTTCTTTCCACTACTGCGCTGCCTCGAATGGCGCGTCCCATAAGGACCTCTATCGCGGAATCGCGCGTCTTCTCTCATGTGGAAATGGGTTGCTGGTAGCACTCGTGGGCAACCGAAGCTGCCAGTGGATAGAAAGAATATTTCGGGTAGTGTAGATCATGGTATTGACGTCTGCCAAGTCAACTCAAATTTGCCATTCTTGTCTTTGTTTATAGGTGTGGAGGGGCTCGGTGGCATTTCGCAGGGTAGTTCGGAGGTCCGAGCCAACCCAATTAGACTGTAAACAGTTTACGCGGCTAGTAGTTGAGCTTCGGAACATGAAACAACCAGCGAGGAATCAAACATAATGTATGTTGGGAGGAGTCATTCAACTACGGTTGATTGAGAAAGTTCATGTCGTTTATGCCGCCTACCTCATGGTGTGACTAAGACCTACCGATATGATCATCGACTTACGAAGCTGCCGGAGGGCGGAGCTGCGGCAAAAAGCTGGTCTCCTCACTTGGCCTGCTTCGGCCTCTCTTGGTGGTAGGTACTAAGTACTAGTAGTAAGTGGCACTGCCGACTCCGCATCTAGACCTTATTAATCGGCATGAAAATGAGCTTTAGCTTTCGGATCATTGAAATATGGATCGCATGCGGTTGATCATGAAGGGCATGGCCTACTTGTAGATGCCTCGAGCGAATGGATGCTTCACTTTTGATAGAGGGGGCGGTTCATGCATTTCAAATTTTGCTAGCTTTCACAGAGCTTTGAACGTGAGAGGTGTTTATTCCTCTGGGATGCTTCTATAAAAGGCCCAGTACAAGCTTCGGATACTAAATCTCCCTGATTGTTTCTCGGAAGTTTGCTTCACGAAGCGCTGTCAACCAAGCTGTCAAAAAGCACTGATGCAAATCCTACCTACGGTTCTTGCACCACTGTTCATCTGGATGAAAACTGATTCCGCGGGTGTCTCACGCCAAGGTTAATAGCGGGTGCAAAACGTGGACAATGATTATGAATTTTCTCCCCCTCACACCCGAACGTTCCTCCCTAGATCGGATGGCTGAAGTTGGTGGGCGGCTCTGCTTGGCTATGCCTGCAGATAACTTTAATATTCGGATCTCTTACTCAGAGACTTTTTCTTTGCGTGATTTAAGCCTTTGCAGATCATAGCTTCCTTCCATGGATGGCCTTGAAAACGGATCTGCTTTTGGTACTCGGTGGCTGACTGGACTATCACCGCACCTCGCGTTGTCGTCCGCATCTCGCGTTCCCGTATTTGCAACTCACAAGGTGCAAGTTATTCCCGGAGCCGACTTCAGCTGGGCACAACTCAGCCGCGGATGACTATGGACAGGAGCTAACTTGGAAACATCGTTCTTATTTTACATTGATGGTAATCTCATCAATCTCGAGTATAAGTATGAAGCCGTGGTTCCCGGCTCACTTTGAATGCTTCTTCTTCATCACATCCTTACCTCTAGTGGATTGACTCAAGCGCCACTTCAATAACTCAACTTGGAACTTTCTCTTTCAACTCTCAACTCTGCAATCATGCATATTCCGTCGTTCAGCCAAACCGCCGCCATTGGCATGGCTTTCTATGCTATCGCCGCTGTAGCTGCACCCATAGCCCAGCCAGTCGGTGAGGCTGGGTTCGAGGCAGGTGACATTGTTGAAGTAAGTCTTTGCTCTTTTGTTTCTTCTTGTTTGAATGAAATCTGACATTGAGATAGCGTTCCCCTGAGGTAGCTGTAAGTAGCTTCTGAACACATCATCTGACCCGCGTCATGCCTTGCTCTCTTATCCTACTGGGTTGTTTTGGTCTCAGAAGTAATATACTGACTCACTTGCAATAACAACAGCCTAATGTTGATATACCGGTAAGTCTTCTTTTCCGCTACCAAAGAGTTGCCTCTCTGACGTAGCAAATCTCAGACCCTAAGCGAAGCCATCGTCGCTCGCGATGAGTTAAACGAAGAATCCCAACTCGAAGTACGCGATGACAAGAAACAGAACAACCAAGACCAATACCACAATAACAGCAAATGCAAGCGTGGCAAGGGGGGTGGCAGAAATGAGGGCTGCGACTACGGTGACTACGGCAGCTACGGCGGTGGTTACGGAGGCGGTAAGGGAGGTGGTGGCTACGGTGGTGGTGGATACGGTAACGGAGGCGGCTACGGCAATGGCGGTGGCTACGGTCATGGCAAAGGGGGCCACGGTATCCAGAGCTCCGACGAGGTAAAGAGCGATCAGAAGGACAATGACCTCGGCAAGCGAGATGAGGCCGGTCTTCCCGGTGAAGATAAGAACAAGGAGGGTGGAGTTGATATCCTCAACAACAAGGGCGGCGGCGGTGGCTACGGAGGATACGGCGGCGGGAAGGGTGGCGGGTACGGCGGTGGCGGATACGGTGGAGGTGGCTATGGCCACGGAGGTGGTGGCTATGGAGGCGGTGGATACGGCAACGGCGGGTACGGCAACTGCAAGGGTGGATACAAGTGCGGCGGAGGCTACGGCGGTGGAGGATATGGCGGTGGCGGTTACGGCGGCGGAAAGGGAGGCGGATACGGCGGTGGCTATGGTGGCCACGGTCACTAATAGGAAGATGAGACGGGCCCGGACGAGGGCTGAGGTTCATCGTCGAAGCTCTTTTGGAAACACTATGCCGAGGATGCTTGGGCATCGGCTTTACGAACACACAGTTTTGCAGTTTTTCATCGCCATGGTCTGGGTCGGAGGAAATTTGCCTCGCAAAAAAGCTTCTGTCAGATTACGTTCAGTGTATATATTTTAACAAATCCAAGTTTTCACTTTGATGCCACCTTTGCTCATAGTCCTTGAACATCATTCATTTGTTGCGCTGGTGACAACTAAGGTCGTACTTAACATTATGCTCCTCGAAACGGGCATCCGCAGCATGTGGGGGATTGCCGAAAGTTCCCTTGCCTGTTCCTTGGGAGCAAGTCTCGTGCCTCATGTAGAACTTTCTCACTCGACCAAGATCTCCTCCAACTCAGTTGAGATCTCATCCCATGCAGACTTCAACATCCTACCCACGCCAGCCCGTTGAACAACCGGAACAGCCTTTGGATCTTTTCCATCCATATCTTGACGGTGGATCAACATCACGTTGACAGCCTCCCAAGGCTTTTGGCTGGCATGGCTCGAGAGCTCCTCCCCCGAGAAGCCGTACGCATCTGATAGGACAACAAACTCATAGGACCCTCCCAGCTTCTGCCGGTAGCCTTTTGGCATCAGAATAGACCCAAGCCATTCGTCCTCGTTTCCGTCCCTCGGGGCGGCAGAGTGCGTGATACCAAAGCGAATAGGGTGTGGTTCCTTGACATTCGGCAGCGAGGGCGGCTTCAAGGCTCCGCTCCTGTCATGAAGAGTGAGCCTAAATTTTCCGACCCTCGTTCGTAACCGTAAGTGAAAATCTTGCTTCTCTGGTTTCCCGTCCTTGTTCAGCTCAAGCGAGACGCCCCAGCCTGCAGGACGAACTCGATCGAACGGACTCTCGAGGACAGGCAAGCCGTTCCAGTCGTCAAGGTCGTCAAAGCGTACGGCTCCCGTCCAGCCCGCCCACGACCATGACGGATAGAGAATAAGTGGCGGATTGGACTTGTACTTGACTACTCTGCTGAGCTCCTGTCGCGGCTGCCACAATAGAGAAAATGCAAGCAAGTCTTTCGCCCAAGTACCCCATACAAAGACCCCCTCGTATTCAGGTAGTTTTTCGATGACGTTCAAGATACCTTTGAACCCGTTGACTCGGTCGTCTGTGTGGCTCATCTCTCGCGACGTGTACTCCGTGACCATGCGATAGTAGAATTCGGGCGAGATGCCCAGTCGATACTGGTGCCTTCGTGTCAGAGTCGGCGGCGCCTCCCCGCGAGACAAGGTGATGTTCTGCTGCGAGGCGCTCTGGGTGACATCATCGCGAAGCATGTTAAAGTCTTCGCTGCACGTCATCTGGCCGCACTGGAAGTAGACCGTGTTCTCGGTGAAGAAGACGAGCCTACGTGAGAGTAATCGCTCCTGGTACGTCCAACCGCGCGTGTTCCAGTAGATTTGCTGAACCCCATCCTCGAAGTCGGGGACTAGCGAGAGGAGTGTGAGGTCTGATGAATACTCAGCAGTATGCTGCTTCTTGCTTCTCTCGACTTCGTTGATGCCGGATAGTCGAGCGTTTGCATCTTCGCCATTGGCGGAGACAATCGTGAAAGAGGCTCTGCTATAAATAGCGTCCATGAGTGCAAGCTGTACCTTGTTGTCGTCATCGTTGCCCTTCTGAATGATGCAGAGTGAGTCGACCCACAGA